GCAGAGACGCACGGGCACACAGACAACCTCTCGTCAATATGCGTTTTTCGCATTGCATTGCTGCAAAAAACGCATAAAAACTAACCTGGCAGTTTGGGCGCCATAGTAGCGATCGGCTGGTACCTGTAGCTCGCCGAACGTATCACGTTCCTTACGTACCGCGGCCATTGTACGTGCAATCACCACACTGCAATTCACTCTCGAACGTGCCCCAGCAGCAGCAGCAGCAGCGAACAGCAGCGACGCACCTCCGCGCAACAGCACCATAATAACAGCGTCACCAAGCCACAACTAATAGGCACTCACAGAAGACAGAGCAACAACCGATCAATCGTTGCTGTGCGAATAGCGGAGGACGAACGCTTCGCAGCAGCCCAGCGAACGAACGAACGCACACGCAACGCAACGCACCCCCCGCAATGCCCCGCCCCCTGGCTCTAAAACCCCGCAAAATCAAGGGCCCTGACCACCCTCCCCCTCCGACCGGGGCTGACCATTGCTATCCCCAACCGGGCCCAGCATCCACTCGGACTGACCAAAGTCCATCCCGTCCCAGCAAAAAAAGGCACGAAAACCCCCTACCCACACTGTCCAATCGTGCGTTCCGATTGTCAGAACGCAGCGTTCTTGTCAATCAGCGACTAGGTCCTAAAACGAGAAAATTTTGTGCTGCTACAGTCGCCTTGGAGGCGGGAATTTTTTCAAAAATTTGAATATTTTGGATGTGATGAGTTGGCACCGTGATAATTTAGTGGTGGCGTGAAGGGTGGGTTTAGCGCTTCGAAGTTTGTAGGAAAGGAGGCGGTGCTTCGTGTAAGTTCGCGTAAGTGGGTGGGCGGTGCTTCCACTCAGTTTTTGTTCCTGCATTGTATTTCTCGCGCCATTTAGGTGCAGCTGGCAATTTCTCCATTCTTCTCTGTTTTGAGCTTCTCTCATCCATCCGCATAACTCCATATGTCCGTTCAAGCGGCTTTTTCGGCCTGTCTGTATTCAAAGCGCAGAAGGCGTGATGTACTCTCGAAATTTGCATAAAAAAAGATGAATTTTGTTTTGAATATGCACACCCAGGGGGGAGCACGTTATTATTCTCATGTTATTTAAGGATGCGCACCAAAAGATGGGTGTTTTTTT